CCTCACGCTGCCTCAACTGTACATGGCTTTCTTGGGACTGTCTCCCTGAGGTCTTTTCATTCTCCAAGAGTGAGATGTCATTGTCCTCCTGAGTTCAGCAGGTGAGGGTTTACAATCCAGGAGGGAGAGAGCAGGAACTGTGCACAGCAGCAACACAGTTATGTGTCACTTGGAAAAGTGCTTGTCACCTCTCTCAACTGCTTCTTCCAGTTGGTTCAATTTGTATCTCTTGGGACTACATGTTTTAATTCACAATTCAGTCCTACTTCTCTCTCTGGGGCAGCTTCAGATCTTCCTGTTCCATTTCCCCACATTTACTGTAAAAATCAAGCCAAGTCAACTTATTTGAAGTTCCTCAAATATGTCAAGACGTCTACAGCCTCAGAATCTGCTGCTCATTACTGACTCCCTCTAGCTTTAACACAACTTAAGAATCATCTCCCACAAGGAGGAAGGAACTTCCTCCTTCCCACCCTGATTCAGATGTCTGACCACTGTTAAGGACCCCCTTACTTCTTTCTGAGAGTACTCATGCCCGTCTCAGTAGTAAGCTTTCCAGGCCTTCCCTTGACTGAAAGTGCCCAGAGGACACAGATAATGTCTGACCCCAAAATCTGGGTTATTCCCCACCATACAAACTGCGTCCTGCAATGCGCAGACAGCACAACACTGGGTTCACCGAGATAATTTTAGAGGAACCATATTCATACAATTGTAAAGCTAGAAGACAACTTATATGTCACTAAATTGAACTCTCATTTTGCAGATGAGTCCAAAGACACTGGCTTACCATAGTGCCCCAGGAAATTTATGGCTTAATTTTCCCATAGTTTTCCCTGTGCCACCAGACACTTTAAAGAGCTTAAAACCTAATCTCCCAGTTGAATACAATAAGCACACAAATAATTAAAATGCAAGGCATTATATGAAAAACAGAAAGCTCAAGCAGATGGAAGGGGCAGAATTAACATCTTTAGGCCTGGGTGGGGTGTGGCTTGGGAGGGTAATCAGGATTGTGTATAGCAGTTCTCAACTGTTTTGGTCTCAGGACCCTTTTACACTCTTAAAAATGACTGTGAACCTTAAATAACTTTTTTTTGGTGATTATATTCATTTATATTTATTGTATTAGAAATTAAAACTAAGAACATTAAAATACATATAAATACTATACATACTTAAAATAATAAAAATAATTATGTAGTATCAAATTTTTATAAAAATAACTATTTTCCAAAACAAATACCAGGGTGCCAAAAAGTGTATATACATTTTAAGCGGTGTTATCTATGTATTACTTTTCAAAGTTGAATTGAATTACGGTAGCAATGTGTAGTTTGATGTTGGCTCAAAAGACGGCTTTAATCAAATGAATGCTAGTGTCACCATGCGACAGGCAGGGCAATATTACAATTTTAATACAGTTTTTTCCTTTCTTAAAATGTATATACTTTTTTTTGGCACCCTCTGTATAGTGAGAAGTGGCATTTATTTACATTTACGCCAATCTCTTTAATCTCTGGCCTAATAGAAGACAGCTGAATTCTCATATCTACTGCTACATTTACTCTTGAGACAGGTTGTTTTGGTTGAGCCTGAGAAGAAAATTCAGACTCATGCAGATATGTAGTTGGAAAAGAGAAGAGCAGTTTAATAGTCTTTTCAGATAACTGTGGCTATTCTTCTCTATTACATCAAAACTTGACAAGTGGTAGTTTCTCAAAAGTTGCCATGTGGAAAATGAAATCATATCAAATGAATTTTCAGTACTCAGTTATGTTAAAATCTTTTGGTCTATTTTGCATTTAATTAATTAATTAATTAATTAATTAATTAATTAAAGTGTGCGTGTGTGTGGGGAGTGGTCTCACTCTATAGTCCAGACTGGAGTGCAGTGGCAAGCTCACAGCTCACCACAGCCTTGACCTCCTGGGATTAGGCGATCCTCCCAGCTCAGCCTCCCGGGTAGCTGGGATTACAAACCTGCACCATCGTCCCTGGCATATTTTTTGATCTTTTGCAGAGACAAGGTCTCACTATGTTGCCTAGGCAGGCTATTTTGCATTTTAAATGCATACTTCTGTTATATCGTGCACTTGGTTCCTTGGCAATATTGGTTTGCTAAATTATACAGATCTTCCAAATATTGTCACATTTCATTATACAGTATAACATAATCACTTGTTAATATTACCACTAGTTTCATCTGGAAAGAATTTAAGTATTGAGGAACCTGTCATGCTCAGAGTGGTGGATACAAGTTTTCCAAAATTCTAATTTTTGCTTAGAATACTGTCAGTTATTTTCCTGAGGTGACTCATGATATTAATTTTCTGAATACTTATAGTCTGTCAGCTGTTCTTTTAAGTAAAAATGGGTTCCATGAGGAAAGTGTTTCTTTTAGCTCACAGATCAGACAATTGCCCAAGTGCTTTAGTTTTACTTCCCATTTAGACACACAGAATAGTAAAATGATACGTTTCTGAAGGCTGAGATTAATAAAATTAATATATATATATATATTTTTGAGTTAGAGTCTCACTCTGTCGCCCAGACTGGAGTGCAGTGGCAGCTCCCGGTCACCGCAGCCTCGACCTGCTGGGCTCCGGCGATCCTTCCGCCTCAGCCTTCCAAGTAGCTGGAATTACAGGCATGCGCTACCACACCCGGCTGATTTTTTTTGATTTATTGTAGAGATGAGGTCTCGCTGCCCAGGCGGGTCTCGAGCCCGCGGGCTCAGGCAATCCACTCACCTCAGCCTCCCAAAGGCGCAGGATTACAGGCTGAGCCACCGAGCCCGGCTTAAAATTAATAATTTTTACTGCCTTTATCAAGGACATTCTCAAGTGAATCTGGCTCTTTTTTTAATGGCAAGTGCATAGCACCACTATTTTGACTGTGCTGAGTAAGGTGCCTGCAGCTTTATCCACTATTTCCACTATCCGCACAAATGTCAGAGCAGTGAGGAAGGAAATTAATATTTTAGTGTTATGAAAATAGATTTGAGCCAGGCAGGGTGGTTGCCATCCTAGCAATGTGGGAAGCTGAGGCAGGAGGATTGCTTGAGCCTAGGAGTTTGAGACCAGCCTAGGCAACACAGCAAGACCTCATCTTTACCAAAAAAAAAAAAAAAAAAAAAAAATAATTGGGTATAGTGGTACACTCATGTTGTCCCAGCTACTTGGGAGGCTGAGGTGGATCACTTGAGCTCAGGAGGTTGAGGCCATGGTGAGCTGTGATTGTGACACTGAACTCCAGCCTGGGTGACAGAGTGAGACTCCAACTCAAAAAAAAAAAAAAAAGAATTAAGAAAAAAAAACAAACGATTTGATCTTGTGGTCTCTCTGCAAGGGCCCTGAGAGAGGCTGTCACTTTGAGAACTACTGGTGTACAAGACACTGGCTTTGAAAAATGAGTTGGGCCGGGCTTGGTGGCTCAGCCTGTAATCCCGCGCCTTTGGGAGGCTGAGGTGAGTGGATTGCCTGAGCCCGCGGGTTCGAGACCCACCTGGGCAACTTGGCGAGACCTCATCTCTACAATAAATCAAAAAATCAGCCGGGCGTGGTAGCGCATGCCTATAATTCTGGCTACTCGGAAGGCTGAGGCGGAAGGATCGCCGGAGCCCAGCAGGTCAAGGCTGTGGTGGCCGGGAGCGGCCACTGCATCCAATCTGGGTGACAGAGTGAGACTCCAACTCAAAAAAAAAAAAGAAAAAAAAAAGAAAAATGAGTTGGGTTTTGATAGGATACAATGAGGGAGTAAGTGGGAAGTGTGAGCATAGCTGAAGGACAGCAGGCTGGCAGTTTGGCTGAAGGAGGAAAGCAGAGGCAGCTGAAACTGAAAAGATGCCCTGAAAGGTTCGAGATGCCTTCATGATGACCCACCTAGGTTTAAGCCAGACAGGGGAACAGGGGAAGAGGCAGGCTAGGGAGAACATTTTTTAAAAAAGGAAAGTTGTGGCTTCAACTTATATAAACTCAAGATGCCATGTTTACATTGACTAGTTATAAAATGAAACGATAGCAATGTTGCTTTTCTCATAGAGACTGACTAAAACAAACATATTGGTCAAATGACTTGCTGTAAAAAACATGCTACACTACTACTTTAATTTAGACAGTATTCATTTTAGAAGGAAAAAGAATGAGAACATTAATTAGGCACTTATTCTGAACCAAACATATAACAAGTTTTATGATTTAATCCTCACAAGCTTACAAATGAGATAGCACAATTAACCTAGATAAGGCAAATGAAGCCTAAAAAGCCAAATAATTTTCTAAGGGACATGACTCTGAACTCTAATTTTGTAACACTTCATTTTGTCATCCATCACTTCCAGGTATTTGGGGGAAAGTAAAATTTAATTATCATCCATGTATATATTTATATATCCTACATAATCTTTTAAATCAGGATACAAAATGGTGTTACAAACCCAAAGAAATAGAATAAGATGTGTAACTTCTAAAGAGTGTATATTTTGAATTTTTTCTTTGCTTCAGGAATTATTTTATACAATAAACATCACTTATTACTGGGGGCAGTATGTTGGCTGATAGAGATTTTTATGAAAATAAAATGGCTGAGAAATACTAGCATTTAAAATTTATTGCTAAGCTTCATCACAGTACTACTGGATACAAAAGCTTTTTTCCCCCTTACTCTTAAATATTAGGCTAATAGGAAAAGGAGAGAAAGTCATTCAGATGCATAGTCTGATGCAATCTTCTTTGGCCCAAGAAAAGAAGGGTGCTAAGTTCACTGACATCAACAAACAGGATCTGGATATACATATACCACATCAACAGTCTGTTCTTCTTGAACTTGGACCTGCTCCTTGGAATACTCACGTTTTTTACATATGAATTGTACACACACACACACATACATACTCAAAGTCATGTTATGCTTCTCCTCCCCAGTGAAAACAAATTCTCTGTTTAACTGGATGTTTGGAAACTTTTCTGTTGATATTTTAAAATACATTATCACAATTATTTCAAATTAATGCCCATGTGAATATTTTATTATAACACAAAAGAAGAAGGTAAATACAGAGTAAAGCTATTTATTATTTGCTCATTTCTAGGGTCTGAGAGTATAACACAGTTCAGTTACCTGGCTCGACAAGAGATACTTGCTAAAGGCAGAAAATTATTATAAATACTGAAAACAAGTAGGCAAAACATCTTGCAAGTTTTAAAATATAGTTGATTATGAACTATGCTTTTCTTCTATATTGATATTAAAATAGTTGCATTTTAGCTTAAATTACAACAGGTAATAATTTATTCATTTTGTTATAACATATAACATTCTACATTTTAGATTGAAATAGTATAATATCAAAAAGCTTATAAATTGCCAATAAAAGTGGAAACTTATATATACATTTCTGACATTGGGGAATTATTATAGTCATGCTATGGAATGCCAAACACAGGCAATGTATCCAAGTTTTAGAATAGTTACTATGAAATAATAAAAGGGCAAAAAAGGAAACAGGATAGTTTTGTCCTTCCAAAGTAGAGGCAACGTAGGTTAACAAATATTTTCAAATTAATGGTTTAGTAAAATTGTTCACTGGAATAAAAACAGAACTTTACCATTATAACTAAAATGCGAAATTCTATGAGGTTCTGAATGTGTAGATCTTGTTGCTCTGCTATTTTTTGGAATAGTTGACTTCAGTCCTAATCCCCTTATAGTTCTGACACAATTACACAGAGATATAGTTTTAGGGAGTAAAAAATTTTTATTGAAAGATAAAATCTGTATACATATCCTTAATACAAAAGTGTGAGCATAGGACACTGAGATTTGCGATGCTAGATTTACTACAGTAAGCTTTACAAGTATGCAAATATGTCATAGCTAGCAAAAGGATTTTAATGATCAGATCTCTCTTGCTTCAGTAGGGTGGATGGAACGAATTCAGCATAAGACTAAGCATAACTTTGTTTTGATTATTCCCTTTCAGTGTGTCCTGTGTCATACATTTGAACTATATAGTAGACACATGTGATGGTAACGAGTTTTTGGCAGATTAGAAAGCCCCTAGAATCTCTCAATGGGGCTGGGAACTGGGAATTTTGAGGTAACCAATTTCCTTAATGTGCTACTCTTGTAGGGCTCTCAAGTCTCAGTGATGTCAAGAAAGAGTTCAACAGGTTACCTGCTAGTTCAGTTATGCTTTATCTGTCTTTTCATGTACTTATCTAATAAACAATTTATCAATCTGATCCAACTAGAAGAGTCTACAGGCTCCCCAATGGAGTTTCAGGCATTAAAATTAAAAATTAAATTAAGTGAAAATAAAAGTTTTAGACTAGAAAATACTTGGAAAATCCAACAGTGATCTGTCTATATTAGAAATTTTGTAATTTCAGGTGTATCAAAAGCTATTTTTAGATATAAATGAATATTCACTAAAATAAACTAAATAACTTTTGATATCTAAATGAACATAAGGAGGAGAAATAAGCTAATTTAGAGAACATAATTATGTATAACACTGCTTTAAGTCAGTGGGGTAGATCAGATATAAGTGTTTTCACAAAATACATTTCTGAAAATCCTTTGGTTAGCCACTGATCATGTGGTTTCTGCCATGTCTAAATTATGATCTTTGGGAACAGATCTGACTGGAGGAAGTGCTGTAAACACCCTCGAATGACCTCTCTGCCCTGGCTGGCTTTATCCACTTTAGCTGCTACACATGAGGACTGTTTTGCTAAGTGTATTAGCAGTCAATACTACAGTTGCTAATGAAAGGCTACATATTTTTATGGAACTCTACAACTATACTTCCATTTGACAGGAGATAGGCTAGCAAAGACTGAGGATACTTGTTACTTACTAAGTGAAGCATCCATATATGAAAGAGGAATAATTTCTAAGTGTTATAACACATTATTCTCCCAAGTTCATTTGATCTTCAGAAATGTGTGTAGTTGTATTATATGAAACTCACTGACTTTTCCAAAGGGAATGATACTGCTAGGCACCTTTACCGAAACATTTTGTTGATTAATGGGGACTGCTGCCATGGATGCATTTGTCCCAATGTGAACTCCGCCTTTCTAATGTTTACCACAAACCCAATGAAGCTGACGGTCTGTCCAGAGGTCAGTCAGATCTTCAATGGTTCTCCAGCTACACTGGCAGGCATATGCCCGTGCTCCTTTCTTCTTTATCAACTTTGCTTTTAGCTTGTGGAATTCTGGCATGTTGTTCCTATTAGTAAAACAGGGAAGTTTTAGTACAGTGGCTTTGTTCAGTGCTTAAGGACTCAAAAAAAAAGTCTCATTGCTTTATTTTCTTAACTTTATGGTATCTGAACACTGAACAACCTTGGTCTCCTCACACTAACAATAGGAGATATGCTTCAGTGTTCTTTTTCTGATGGACTTTTCATGATAACCCTCTAGGCCTGCTTATGAAGACTGTCACAGAATATAATGACCTAAAGGGCTGAAGAATTATTAATTTGTCCTATCAGAGATGCTATATCAGCAGGGTGGAAAGTATTTTAAAAGCTTGCAAAATGGCAAGCAGAGAAAATATAAGAGGCTTCTGATGAATGAAATGCAGAAAATTTTCATTAGCAGAGAAAAAGTGTCTGACATTTCTTTTTCTCTCTCGCTTTTTTTAAAGAAAGCAGGATTTATTGAGAGGACAGAAAAGCTCCCACTGTGGGAAGGGACCCAGAGTGGTTGCCCTGTTATTTCTATATGTTGAACTTAGGTGTATCTTTAATTTACTTCAATGATCTGCTTATTTACTTACACTATCAGCCACAAAATAAATGTCTATCCTCAAATAAGTGTTACCAATGCTAAAATAATTAAATCAGTGAGCAGGACCATCATAAAAATAATAATCAGTGGTCTTGATACCATTATTTAAAAAGACCATAGAAGCCAATTTAAGTTTAAAAAAGAAAATTATGATTTTCATGATAATCCATGTAATGAGCTTATATAAACATTCTGTGGCAAAGAAAAAAATTAAATAAAATGATAAAAAAGTGAAAGGATGAAATACAGTATAAATACTAAAAAAAGGAGATACAGTGTTAACCATTTCTTGTGGATATAGTTGCATAGAAGGCAGGCTACAAAGTGCCCTCTGGTGGTCAACGGGCACCACATTCAGTGTGGTATGTACAAAATTCAAGCACAATTTAGAACGTCGGAACCTAAAAAATCTGAGAGATTTTCCAGGCTAACTGTTTGATTGCAGAAAACTGAGACTCTAGCTAGCTAAATGACTTCGCTAAAGGAAGAAATATATATGTTTTAACAAAGAAAAAGACCCCACCAAAACTAAGCTGTTTAAATGAAGGAAAATCTCCTTTATTCAACTCGCAATATATTTTGAGATGTAACATTTGATACTTGACTAAATCCTCAGTTAGATATTACAGGAATCATGAATAGCCAGGGATCTAATTACTATATTTCAAATGCTTTTTAGAAAAGCACATACCTTAAAAACTTAGAAAAAAAAAATCATTTCATTATTTTCTCTTAAAGAACACACATATTTAATATAAATTTTTTTCTTTAGCTATTATGGCAGAGTGGTCAATAAATATAACTTATGTTTCTTTTAGAAAGTTCTAAAATTTATCAAAGCTAGGATACACTTATTTCCCTCATCTGTAAAATAGGACAATAAAACACAGAGTGTTCAACTGCACAGCATTTCACTGTGCAACAAGTGTGCAGATTGGCACCACTGAAAATAAACAGCTCCCATGTTCTGCTGGACAGTCAATGGTACTCTGTGAACCTGCTATCTTGTCTTGGGTCACTGCCCACTTCTGGTTTCCCTCAATGATTATAACCCATTCTCCTGAAGTGTTTCTTCTACCCTCCAGCCCCTTACTTTTAGCAGATCACATACTCATCCTCAAAACTAGGCCAACAGATGCAAAAAGCTTTCAATTTCCTGGCTAGCTCTTCCAGAATGTATCCATTCTTACCGCCTCACCCTCAGTCACAGAGGTTCTCCTCTTCCTATCCAAGGCTCACTTCCCATCAGCACTCAGGGCTCCATTGCTTCCAAGATCTGGCTACTCACACACTCATCCCTTCCCATGTCTGCCCTCCTCTTTGATAAAGAGAATTTATTGATAAAAAGAGAATTAGATTTGTCTACTGACCTGGAGAAATATCCAAAGCAAGGTAAACAGTAACATAAAGAGAATGATCTTATTTTTGTAAAACAATAACAACAATAAAATTCCTATCTAGGTGGTTATAAGTTTGTAAGAACATGGAACAAAACATAGGAGGTTACTATATCTTTCTTTCTCTCTCTCTCTTTCTATACATCCATCCATCCATCCATCCATCCATCCATCCATCCATCCATCCATCCATCCATATCAAAGCGTCTCCTATCTTGACAATCGATCCCTTAACTACCTTCACTGACAGTCTTCCTGGGTGATACATCCAATCTCATGGCTTCAACTACACTTCATAGATTGCATTTCCTGCATGACTTTCAAAGTCACAGTTCCAAAAACTTTCATGAAGGAACATATAGCCTCTTCCTTCAAATTTGTTCTCCAATGCTCTCATCAATGGACAGTATCATTGTCTCTCTATGTGAAGCAAGACAGAAACCTAGGATTTATCACAAATGTTATCCGTCTTTCACCTTCCATAGCCAAGACCACCTCCAAAATATCTCTTAAATATATCTATTCCTCTCTCCCCTCCTCACTGCTGTAATTCAGATCCTCATTTCTTTCACAACGAATTACCTCAACATCCCTTCATTAGCCCCCATGATTCTCAACTAGCCTAGTTCTCATATAGTAGTCAGTTATCTTTTAAAAAATTCACATCTATTCAGATCTCGCTCCTGATTACAAACTTGCAAAGAATTGTCTACTGCCTAAATAATGAACCCAGATTCCTTGGAATTTATTCCCTGGATCTTCTGATCTTTCTCTACTACTTCACCTCTTGCCATCTCTTGCCTTGTATCCAATGCTTTACACAGCTCAAACGACCTGTAATTCCCCAATCATGCCACATGGTTTCAACCTCTCTGTGTCTTTAAAAATACCTCCTAAAAGAATGCCAGTGTTCATCCTGCTTGCTGGGCAGACTTCTGATTATTCTACAAGACTCTAAGAGGCCTCCCTCTGATACCTGAGGATAGAGTGCATTCACCTTGCTGTGATGTCCCTCTTTCTTTTAACCTGTTCTCCTGTTTCATTCATCACATGATCTTGTTCCATGATGTCTCTCCCTCTCAAAACTGAGCACTACTTGAGAGCAGAAACTGAGTTCTCCTCATCTTATGAGCCCAATGTCTAACAGTGCCACAGACTGGGTGCTGAATAATGTCTTCTGGATAAACAAACACTAACAAGTTATAAAAAATAAATACCATATCAATGATTCATATTCCGATGGTAAAGACAGTCTTACTCTTTTTTTTTTGAGTTGGAGTCTCATTCTGTCACCCAGGCTGGAGTGCAGTGGCACGCTCATGGCCACCCCAGTGTTGACCTGCTGGGCTCCAGTGATCCTTCTGCCTCATCCTCCCAAGTAGCCAGAACTACAGGTGTGCGCTACCATGCCTGGCTAATTCCTCTTGCCTCGGCCTCCCAAAGTGCTGAGATTATAGGCTGAGCCACTGAGCCTGGTCACCTTATTCTTTACTTGTGCCATTCTCTTATTACTAAGCATCTTGAGGACTGAAGTATTTTCTACTCATTTAAATAATAACTACTTATTTCTTTTTAACAGTGTAATATACCTCCTAGTTGTCACTGTTTTATCTAAAAGTATATATTTTTAAAACCAGGCTGCTACAGATCTAAAATAAATCAACTGGTGTTCTTGCTAACTTTGAGACACTACAAGTTCCTCAAGTACAAACTAAGTTATCCAGAAGTTTTCTTTATGCCTGTGTTCACCACTGTTTTGATATGACATGCATTTTATGATCCTATGCTAGTTTTATAAAAATTCATCTTGGTGACATAGGGGGATTATTAACCACTTATTAGATTAACTAATAGATAGTAAACAGTGCAGACTTTAGAAAAGTCAGGAAAGGCAAAATGAACCTGAAATTAAAAGCTAATTTTTCCAACTATGGGAGTAAAAAGTGGGCTAAACTTAAGAGTGGGGGGTTTTTGACCTGGGATTTTGGGACTACACTAGGCTTTATTTTAGCTGGGAACTGTAAAACCTCTCAAACTAAATTTTGCATGCATTTGTATATTTAAATTGTGTATGTATGCATACGAAGAGGATTCAAAGCTTTCATAAGATTTTCAAAGTGGTTCTTTTTTTTTGAGTCAGAGTCTCACTCCGTCGCCCAGACTAGAGTGCAGTAGCATGCCCACAGCCACCACAGCCTTGACCTGCTGGGCACAGGTGATCCTTCCGCCTCAGTCTTCTAAGTAGCTGGAATCACAGGTGTGCACTATCACGCCCGGCTAATTTTTTGCTTTATTATAGAAATGAGGTCTTGCCAAGTTGCCCAGGCTGGTCTTGAACCTCTGGACCTCAGGCAATCCTCTTGCCTCTGCCTCCCAAAGTGCTGGAATTATAGGTATGAGCCACCGTGTTTGGCTTCAAAGTGGTTCTTCAGGTGAAAAATCTTAGAAACTATTAAATTAGGGGAGACTCCTATGGATTTACCTGAGACTGGCTGACAGAAGATGGGTGAAAGAAAGTCTCTCTCATCTTTTTATTTATGCTAGTAAAAAGTGCTGCAGTAATATGCTGATTACTTGTATCTGAAAATAGTCTTTGTTTAGGCACAGGTTTGGGGGCCAAAAATGCACGATATGTGCACTTCAGTCATTTTTAACTTTTAATTTTTATTTAAAAATGTGAATGTATAGTTCAAATACATTTTTATAACTTGTAACACCTTAGAAATGTTAGGTATTCTGTAAGTATATAAGAATGTACAAATTATAAAAACATGAGTAAGACCCTATCCCACACCACAAGGGAAAAGGCAGCCATATACCAACCTAAGGGCTTCAATTTTATATTATAGTATTTAACAAGTACAAAGTGCTGCAAACACACAGGAAAGGACGAGTTTACCTCCAAGATGAGAGAAGAATCATGGAAGATGCATGATGAATTGTACTTTGAAGGTTCAGGTAGATAAAATAGTGGTAAGGTGTCTCAGGAGGTGGAGAGCTTGCACAAAGTCAGAGGGAATGGGAGTACCGAGTGCTACGATGATGTAAGTTGAGATATTGCAAAGGCAAAATGTACATTGTGGGAAGATAAAGCTGGATGACAGGTAGATGGGAGCTAGATATTGGAGGGTCTTGAATGCCATGCCAAGGCATTTGGACATTATTCTGTAAGTGGAAGGGTGCTAGGAGAATGGTATGCTCAGAGCTATGATTTAACTCTGAGCAAGGGCAGGATGGTCTGAAAGTAGAGACCATAGGCAGAAAAATCAGCATGGAGGCTACTTCTGTATTCTCATCCATGAGTAACATGCCCTTATCTAGGCTAAGAGTAGATGGATGGAAAGGAGATGGGTAACAGAAGTACAATCACGCATTGCTTAACAATAGGGATATGTATGAGAAATGCATTGTTAGGCGATTTTGTCACTGTCATAGAGTGTACTTAAACAAACTTAGATGGTGTAGCCTACAACACACCTAGGCTCGATGGTATAGTCTATTGCTCCTGGGCTGTCTAGCATGTCACTGTTTAGACCACCATCACCACAAACACATAAGTAATGCATTGTATTACAGTATTACACAGCTATGATGTCACTAGGCAACAGGAATTTTTCAACGCCATTATGCTCTTATGGGACCACTGTCAGATATGTGGTCCACTGTTGACCCAAACATCATTATGTGATACATGACTGTATGGAAGAGGTGGAAGCCACATGATCTGGCTAGGTTCACCAAGAGAGAATAGAGCAAACTAAGAGATATAAAGAATTTGGTGAATTTTATACTGAGTGGAGTTCTTTATAAACATACCTGAAAAACAGATAGTCACATGATTTGTCCCACATATAGTCATCATAGCTTACCACCAAGAAATCACAGGCTATACAACGCAGATGATCACATGCTCTGTTGAGAAAAAAAGAATTGTATATTAAAGATTAGGACAGCCCCCTCAGGACCCTCCCACTGTGGGAGCTTTTCTGTCTTCTCAGTAAACTTTCTTAAAAAAAAAAAAGGTTATTGGTGGCCAGGTGCAATGGCTCACACTTATAATCCCAAAACTTTGGGAGGTCAAGGCAGGAGGATCGCTGGGGTCCAGGAGTTTGAGATCAGCTTGGGCAACATAGCAAGACCTCATCTCTACAAAAAATTGAAAAGTTAGCCAGGCATGGAGGTACGTGCCTGTAGCCCCTGCTATTCAGGAGGCTGAGGTGGAAGGATTGCCTGAGTTCAGGATTGCTGAGGCCGCGGTGAGCCATGATTGTGCTACTGCACTACAGCCTAGGCAACAGAGTGACACCCCGACTCAAAAAAAAAAAGATTATTTATTGGTATGTTTAAATGTGATAATATGGTGATTTATTCACAGGATACACCACATATTACATATTGCTGAATAAACAACAGAAAAGTACAGATTAAATAATTATAAATGTTTACACTAAAGGATTGTTTACAGATCTAAACTTTAAGGTTAAATTTTTGCACAGCCCTATTTTACTAAGGTCTTGTACACTCAAGACAGACATATACATGTATATTATATAGAAATAAAATAAACAAAATGGATTTCTAGATCTTTTAATTCCATGGTTTTCAAATTATGTCTAAGGGAGATCTTCATTTAAGCTAATTTCTTTAAATGATCCCCTTTCTGTTGAAGTTTTCAGTAATACTTCTATCAAAGAATAGGCCACATTACCCTGAGATCAATCTGTCTCCTGCAAGCTGTTAAGTGCTGGGACAAGATTTTATTTGTTTCTGCTTCCTTACTACTTGGCATAATTTATTCATTTACCCACTTAAACAATATTTACTGAGAACTGTGAGATTCAGTCTCAATGGAGCCTGAATTGTAGTTAGAGAAGAAATAATCAATACTCATAATAACTAAATTATGTAGTATGTTAGAAGTTAAAAATGTTTTGAATGAAATAATAAATAGAACTGGATAAAGAAAACTGGGAGTATTGGGAGGCGATGGGTTCCAGTTTTAAATAGGGTGGTCTGTATAAGCCTTATGAGAAAGCACATCTGAGTAGTTTCTTTAAATGGAGTGGTAACTGGTAGGGTTAAGAGAAGGTTATATTTAAAAAGGGAAGAAGAGCATGTTTGTGTATTGGTGACAAAAGTGCACTGAAGAGCAAAACTCTGATGATGGAGAGGGTGGGCAGAACTGCTAGAATGACTAGCATATAATATGTATTCAATGACTATCTGGAGAATTGAAATTAGGTGGAATTCTTTTTTTTTTTTTGAGTTGGAGTCTCACTCTGTCGCCCAGACTGAAGTGCAGTGGC